ATGATTCTGGCTGGACACTCAGCATTCCCATCACAATGCAGTTTTGTTGTTTTTCATTCATTGTGCCATACGGAGGAAACTCACAAAGAAGGGATGAAACCTATGTTTTTAATGAAAAAAAAAAAAAAAACCAACAAAAAGCAACCAACAAAAAAAGGACCGATAAACAAATGCCACTGCTGGTAATGAAATTGAAGAGGTAAAAGAAAACTAGTTATTTCAAACCAGAAAATCAACGTTTTGTATAAAAAAGATGGGTAGGTTGGAATTGGTGGTTGCTTGATAGAACAGTATTAGTGGTGTACCATATTCTCAGTACAAAAATAGGAAAGAGGTGATGGCAAACTATTCACTCAGTGTTCTAAACCCACTGCTGTCATGTCAATTTCATCTCTGAGCAACTCCTATAGAAAAGGGTACAACTGCTTTCCAAAGCTGCAAATCTTTAAGGAAGCAGATTGCCTCATCTTTCTCCCACAGGGCAGTTGGTGGGTTAGAACCACCAACCTTCTGGTTAGCAGTCCAGTGCTTAATCCATTACACCGCCACCATCACTACTCATTCAAATACTCTAGCTGGTAAAATAGCTGTAGTATTTAGTTTTAATTTTTTTGAAAGTTCTTATAAATATTTATTAAATATCATAGTGTCTTCATAAACTGACAGTTTAAAAAAAATTGCTTTACATTTTTTTCATTCATTTTTTTTTTTCAACGCAAGTAAAATGTGTTCTTGGGAATAATGAGAAATAGTAACAAATAACATTCTTTTAAATCAAAAATTCAGAAAAAGCATTTTTTAATAAAAAGTAATGTTTATATTTTAAAAAGTAATGTTTAAATGTCTATTATTTCATCACAGAAAACCACTACTGAACTTTTGATGTATATGTTTGTTTTATTTGCATTATTATATATAAAGATACATGTTTTTTCTTTATAAAAATGTGATGCTTTATATTTTCAAAAGTTGCTTTTTTTCACTTCATAATACATAATTTATATCTTCATGCCAAAGGGTGACACTTATGATTGAATGAGGGAGACTGGAAGATTATGGAGGGCAGGGGGAGGGGAAGGAAATGGTATGTCAATCACAAGAGACATATCTAAAATAAAGCCACATCAAAAGTTAAAATTAAGAAGACGGCAAAAGAGATGTGAGAAATTTTTTAATGGAGGAGAATAATAATATGTTGTTGTTGTTAAGCATTGTTGACTTGGTTCGGACTCATAGCAACCCTAAGTACAGTAGAAGAGACCAGAGGAGTTATAGAATGACATCAGGAACATCATACATGATGAAATCAAAAGGTCATTAAAAAAAAACAGGGAAAAAAAGACCAAAGTGGATGTCAGAAGAGACTCTGAGACTTGCTCTTGAACAAAGAGAAGCAAAATCAAATGGAAGAAATGAGAAGGTGAAATACCTGACCCAAAATTTTCAAAGGGCAGCTCCAGAAGAAAAAGTAAAGCACTGGTATGAAGTGTGTAAAGACCTGGAGTTAAAAAATCAAAAGAGAAGAACATGCATAGCATTTCTCAAGCTGCAAGAGCTGAAGAAAAATTCAAGCCTTTAGTTACAGTATTGAAGGATTCTATGGGCAAAGTATTGAATGACACAGAAAGCAACAAAAGAAAATGGAAGGATTACACAGAATCACTGTGTCAAAATGAATTGGTCAATGATCAGCCATTTCAGGAAGTTGTTGTTGTTAACTGCTGTTGAGTTGGTGCCAACTCATAGAGAGATTCTTTACAAGGTTTCTGAGGAGCAGCTTGTGAGTTTGCACTGCCTGTCTTGCGGTTCAAATCAACCTTGTAGTCCAGTCCTTCTCCTACAGTGCCATACCAGCAGTAACAGTTGATAAAGAACTGATGGTATTGAAAGAAGAAGTCCAAGCTGTACCAAAGGCATTAGCAAAAGCAAGGCTCCAGAAATTGAGACTCTGCGAATTGAAACATTTCCACAAACTGATGCAGTGCTGGAAGCAAACACTAGTCTATGCCAAGAAATTTGGCAGATAGTAGTTACTTGGTCAACCAACTGGAACAAATCCATATTTGTGCCTATTCCAAAGAAAGGTCACCCAATGGAATGTGGAAATCATTGAATACTATCATTAATATCACATGCAAGTAAATTTTTGCTGATATAATTTAAAAAATGTATTGAAGCAGAATTCTTGATGTAGAAGGAGGATATTGCTGACATCAGATGGATCTTGGCTGAAAGATGTTTACTTGTGTTTTATTGATTATGCAAAGGCATCATAACAAACTTTGGATAACATTTCAAAGAATGGGAATTACAGAACACTTAACTGTACTCATGTGGAACCTATACATCGACCAAGAGGCAGTCATTCCAACAGAACAAGAAGATAATGGGTGGTTTGGAATTGGGAAAGATGTGCATCTGGGTTGTATCTTTTCACCATACTTAATCTGTATGCTGAACAAATAATCCAAGAAACTGGACTATATGAAGAAGAACGTGGCATCATATAGGATTGTAGGAAGGTTCATTAACAAACTGTGATACACAGATGACAGCCTTGCTTACTGAAAGTGTAGAGAACTTGAAGCACTTACTGATGAAGATCAAAGAATACTGCCTTCGGTATGGCTGACACCTCAACATAAAGAAAACAAAAGTCCTTACAGCTGGACCAATAAGCAACATTCTGATAAATGGAGAAATAAGACACAGATTAATATCTTTTTAGTATTCTGTTTTTTCAGTCAAGCTCCAACTGTCATCAACAATGATATCCCTTATTCCATGTCCAATCCAATACTGGCTTGGATTACTGGATGCTTCCTGCCAGTGTATTACTGTAACCATTTATAAACAATCTTCAGAAAAATTTTGTTTGAGTGTGATATTGATGATATTGTTTGATAATTTCTGCATTCTGTTGCCCCACCATATGGACAAAAATATGAATCTCTTCCAGTTTGTTGGCTAGGTAGTTATCTTCCAAATTCCTTGGCATAGATGAATGAGTGAGCTCTTTCAGCATTATATCCTTGTGATGAAACATCTAATTTGTCTCTGTCAATTCCTGGAGCTTTGTTTTTTGCCAATGCCTTCAGCCTAGCTTGGACTTCTTTCTTCAATACCATCGCTTTTTGATCATGTGCTACTTCCTGAAATGGTTGAGTCTCAACCCCGGGATAAGTTCATCTTCTGGCACTGTATTAGACAGTGTTCCACTGCCATTCATAAGATTTTTCACTAGCCAGTTTCTCAGAAGTAGGTCACCAAGTGCTCCTGCCTAATGTGTCTTACTTTGGAAGCTTCACTGAAACCTGTCCACCATGAATGATCCTGCTGGTGTTTGAAATACTGGTATCTCATCAACATGCAAACACCACAGTACAACAACCTGACAGATGAGTGGTGGCAAGGATAACATACAATGAGTACATTTGGGATTTGAAAATTATGAGACTTTGGAACACATCCTTTAGCAATGTCAATGTTGTTACTGTTGTTAAGTACTATAGAGTCGGTTCCAACTCAAAGTGACCCTGTATAGGGTTTCTGAGGAGGTACATTTGAACCTCTGACCTTGCAGTTCAAACCGACCCTGAGGTCAAGTGCTTATCCTATGGCACCACACCAGGACTCTGACAATGTCAATTGTCTGATGAAATTTAGTGTCTGTTCTCCTCCTCCTCCAGCCCCTACTCCACCATCCCTAGAATTGTGGGCTAGATTTTGATCTTATTTATGACCTCAAATCATAGCATAATACCTGGGATGGAATCAGCACTCAATGCAAGTTTTTAAAATAAATTTATGAATGAATGAGTAAATTAATGAGGATTGCTGAATGCATAGATGTTCACAGAAATGGATGAACCCCCCCCCCACAAGTCTGCATAGCACTGAATGTAGAGTCAGAACATGAAGGGACTCTTCAAGGCTGGGGTCTGTGTTTTGTTGGGCATGTGTATCCTCTGGGATTAGCACATAGAAAGGGCTCATTAAATGTTTGCTAAATGAGTAACATCATCAACTATCTCATGGATCAGCACAGATCCTCCCTAGGCGTACTAAGTAGATTAAATGAGCTTCTGTGTACAAGGAGCTCTTTCAAAGCTCTAAAGAACTACTTCCCTTGACTGCTAACTGCAAGATTGGCAGTTCAAACTCACCAGCCAGTCCTCAGTAATACTATACAGGCTTGCTATGAATCAGAACAGACCTGAAGACCCTTAACAACTACAATGTCAGCCATCATGAGTGGTCGCAATGACCATTAAATCAAGGTCAACGTTGTGGATGGTAGGAAGGTCCAGGAACAAATAAGTCAGTATGTGTGGGTAAAGGGAGACAGGCAACACAGAGACATGCCAACAGGAGACTTGCCTTTGGAAGCACAGCATATGACTGGCAGCAGAGGTAGGACCTTGGAGGATGGGCCTGGATTCCTAGTGGACTCCTCTTCCATGGCTTGGTCCAGTCAGAGAACTGTCTCCAGGATTCCTGGGAAGCAAGACCATGGGACTCTCTTCCTAACCACATAGATGCAGGACAGCCAGTGTCCTGCAGTGGCCCATCTGATGGCAGCACCATGGTGAGATCTCTCACAGATGATGCTGTCAATTAAAGGTCTTCCCTCTGCACCCCCGCAATCCCAGCCCCCACCACTCCCTGGGGAAGGGCAATTGAGCCTGTGACAAACCTCCCAGCCAAGATCTTTCTAAGGATAATTTGACCAGTCTAATCACCCCATGAACAGCTGATAATACGATAAGACCCAAATTACATGAGCAAGGCTTGCAAGCCCAGCACTTTAGGGGTTTTCAAGCTATTTACTTGGATTTTGCTGGGAAAAAATAATTTCTTGCTCCCAGGCAAACTGAACCCATAAATTAGGGCTGTGAATCTCTCCTGAGCTTTATAAAGGGGTAGCCAGAGATTGCAGAGTAGCAAACAGCATCTCAGCTAAGGATTAACATCTCATTTCAGCTCTCTGGCCGTCCGACATGAACCGCCAATTCACCTGCAAGTCTGGAGCTGCTGCCAAGGGAGGCTTCAGTGGCTGCTCTGCAGTACTGTCTGGGGGCAGCTCATCCTACTGGGTGGGGGGCAAAGGGCTGAGTGGGGGCTTCAGCAGTCGGAGCCTTTACAACCTGGGCAACACCAGGAGTATCCCCTTCAACATGGCTGGTGGCGGTGGGCGGACAGTGGGTTATGGGTTTGGCCAAGGCCGGGCCAGTGGTTTTGCAGGAAGTCTGTTTGGCAGTGTGGCCCTGGGGCCTATGTGCTCCACTGTGTGCCCTCCAGGGGGCATCCATCAGGTCACCATCAATAAGAGCCTTTTGGCCCCCCTCAATGTGGAGCTGGACCCCGAGATCCAGAAAGTGCGTGCTCAGGAGCGGGAACAGATCAAGGCGCTGAACAACAAGTTCGCCTCCTTCATCGACAAGGTGAGGTTTTCTGGCGAAAAGTTAGGCATTGAGTCCTTTCTCTTCTTTCATCTTTTCTCCTTCTGAGGCAGAGAAAATAGCACCCCTTCCCAGGATGGAGACACAACCAAGTGCAGAACAGGAAGGAACTGGAAAGTTCTGGAAGTCAGTGCTGAGGGGTGGGACACTAAGGGTGAGACAGTCTGGGAAGGTTCTCAGGAGGCAAAGAAAGTGGCTTAGAGTTGAGATGTAGGGCTGTGCTTACCTGCAAAGCTTAGATGCTTGCAAGGGAGGGATGTGTGTCAGGATTTCAGGTCTAAGATGTCTAGAAAGCCATGGAGCCTTGTCGTTGTCCTAGGAATCTGAACCTTTAATCAGAAGACAGACTTATAACCCCTAATACACCCACATTCGAAGGCAAGGCAAGATGGTGATCAGCTCCATGTTCCATTTTGAGGACCACTGAGGAGCAATGTGGCAGGGGAGTCTTGGGAAGTAGAGCCTTTTTGAGTTTATAGTAGCAGGGAAAGCTAATCAGGTAAGGTAGCAGAACCTTCATAGGGTTTTGCCTTATAGAGTTGGGGCAAAGACAATCCAGGAAGCAGGAGCATGCATTGTGCCATCACGCAGCATTATAGGACTTATTTGGAGGATGGGAAGACTTTGGGGGTTGCTTGAGTGTTGGGTTAATGGTGGATGAGAGGGACTTGGCACATTGTGAAGAGGACAACACGGAATTTGGACTCAATCTTATAGACAATGGGTGTCCACACAGAGTTTTAAGCAAAGGAATGGTATAGTTGTAGAATGCAACTTGAGAATGTTTGTTTTCTCTAGGGACAATATTAATTTAGACATGAAGGCAACAACATAGGAGGGCTTGAGACCCTAGAACAATTGAGCACCCATCCTCCAGCTAGACTGGGAGAGGCCATGACCAAGGGAACAGAGAGTTGACATAGCACATGCTTTATGACCAGATCCAAGCTGAGGAGCCCCAAGATATGAAGGGCAAACAGTGCAGGTCAGCTTCCCATGTCTAGAACTTGCCTTAGTTCTCAATATAGAAGTTGGTCCAGGCAGGCTTCAATAATTATAGAGGTGGCAGATGTTGACTAGATCATGGAGGGAAAGAAACGTAGTAGGGCCCCCTCCTGAACATAGAGACTGTTCCAGAAAGAGAATTGGAGTTCAAGCTCCAGGTAAAAAGGGACCAGACAGGAGTGGGTGACTCTTTCTAAGGATTGAGGCTTACTGATTCCAACTAATGTTGCATAACAAAATACAGCTGCTTTCCAGAAAAGGAAACCCCAGTGTCTTTTATGGAGTTGGTTCCAGGTGTCTGTTGTTTTGGGCTCTAGGTACGGTTCCTGGAGCAGCAGAACCAGGTGCTAGAAACCAAGTGGGAGCTGCTGCAGCAACTGGACCTGAACAACTGCAAGAACAACCTGGAGCCCATCCTAGAGGGCTATATCAGCAACCTGCAGAAGAAGCTGGAGACTCTGTCTGGGGACAGGGTGAGGCTGGACTCGGAGCTGAGGAACATGCGGGATGTGGTGGAGGACAACAAGAAGAGGTGAGCAAAGAGAGGGGTTCAGGAAGACCTGTTTCCTAGAGCTATGATTTCTCAGGAGACACTGAGGCATTTTGCCTCTGGCCTCAAGGAGACTGAGGTCAGAGGAGAACAACCCATCCTGAGTTTCTCTGCCCAAGGAAAGATGAGTGCCTTGTCCAGGAGATCTGTGGGGTACCCAGTGGGTAGGCAGCCACTCGGGCAGTGGCTGTGCTGTCCTGGCAGATGTGCCTCTCCTGGGCACACTCCCTCCCACTTCCCATTCTAGAGCTCAAGTGTGTGTTCCCCCCAGTCTGTCAGTTCCTCAGCTTGCTCAATGGTCACCCAGTTCCATGGAAACCCTCCCAGAAGGATAAGGTGTTTGATATCTGTTGTACATTTGTGACTTGCTCCTTTTTTTTTTTTTTTTTGGTTTTGGGGGATGGTTCTGGCTTCTTCAGGACTTATGTATAAGGATAGGGTGAAGGGTGGAAAGGGTGTCAGGTAGTGGCATGGCACGAAGTGGCATGTAGAACCACGGCTGAAAGGGGTAGTAGGTATGTCCCTGTGAGTGGGGAGAGGAAGAACCTACTGACTCCCCAGGCATCAGAGGTAATACAGATCTCAAATAATTCAGTCACCTGTCCACTCCTCTGACCCATAGTCTTAGTGAGTTGGGCCAGACTTGCAAAGATGTAGAATAATATTCATATATGCAAAGTGCAAAAGATACACAAGAGGAGCCTCACACACTCACACACCCGGCTCACTTGTGCCACTTTCCCTGCAGGTACGAGGAGGAAATAAACAAGCGTGCAACAGCTGAGAATGAATTTGTGGTGCTCAAGAAGGTAAGGCGGGTGAAGTGTACCCCTCAATCACCTGGGAGTGTCATGTTGAGAGCAGGGAAAAGTGTCATCAGAGAGGAGAGACTAAGGTCTCTGCAGGAGATGGAAGGATTTGTTGTGAGGAGCATCTTGAGACACCTTGATGTTTATCTGGTGTCTGTCATTTGTCAGCCCTCTAGTTTTTGTGTGGATGGAGATGGATTATGGAGATGGATTATGGATGGAGATGGATGGTGTGGCTAGTCCATTCCAAGGCCTGGCTGAGGTTGGAGAGCAGAAGATGGTTTGGGAAGGGCTCCTCAGTTCACTCTGACTGCTCTGTGACTTCGTGGGAACAGGACTCCCATATAAGTGGAGAAATAGAAGACAGAAAAACGAGTCCATTTTTAGATGGAGCAGAAAGCACTCTAGGGACATGAGGAACTGGCTTAAGTTCTCACAATGAGTCCTGGGCCAAAGTTAAGTTCCTGCTCACTAGGTCTCAATTCTGTTCTCTGAGACAACTAGCCATGGGGTTGGAAGCTGGTACGTCAGTTGGTGGGAGAGGTGTGTATGAACCTGAATCAAGGTGATACCTGAGTGTCTTGGGATTCTCCTCAGGATGTGGATGCTGCTTACATGAATAAGGTGGAGTTGCAGGCCAAGGTGGATGCCCTAGATGGAGAAATCAAGTTCTTCAAGTGCCTGTATGAGGGGGTAAGTCTCCCCGCCCAAACTCTCATTCTGTCTTCTGGAAGGACAGGCATGGTTACTTACTATCAGTAACTGAGAGCCCCGGGGATCTACTGCATTTAGATGCCAGGAGCTTTGTAGATATGAAAGGGAGTATAAATCTATCTGAGGGCCCCAAAATGATGTGGCCATCAATTTTGACCTGGCCTCCAATGCCTTGCTCTGATATCCTTGAGTTCTTAAGGGTTCCATTGATGGTCAGCCAAGCATAGTTTTATTCTGCTACTTGGGATGTTGCATGTGTTATTGGGCAGGGATCCCCAGGGATGGAGGTGAGGAATTCACAGATCCTTTCCATCTCTTCAGTACCCATCTGGCATCAAGCTTTACTCATTGATCAAACATCCAAGGACTTTTGTGTCCCTTGTGTAGCACCCAAGCTATTTCCCTATTCTACCTTTTCCACCTGTGACTTGTCTCAGGTTATAGATAGATGGTCTGTTTTCTTCTTGTGTGGTCTCAAACCCATTCAGAAATTTTATATGTGATATTAAAACTGGACTGGTGAACACCAGTTTTGCAAACTTGGGGGACTGTAGCTTGCATCCTTTTGGGATGGTTTGAGGGCCTTTCTGCTGGACAGGGCCATCAGTTTGGCACTATCCTCTGTCCACAAACAACAATTCATGTTTCCTTGTTTCTCCCCTGCAGGAGATTGCCCAGATCCAATCCCACATCAGTGACACATCTGTCATCCTGTCCATGGACAACAATCGTAACCTGGACCTGGATAGCATCATTGCTGAAGTTCGCACCCAGTATGAGGACATCGCCTTGAAGAGCAAGGCCGAGGCTGAGACCCTGTATCAGACCAAGGTGAGACTGCACTCACCCCAGACTCATCTGTGCAGAGGCCTCGAGTCTACTCCTTGTTTTGTTTGTCTGCCCTGTAGTCCACTAGGGCTCACCCTCGCTGTGAGCACAGTACTGTCCCATGGACAGTGTCCTGTGGGCATTGGGGGAAGTCCAGTCCTAACAGAAGCCATTTGATAACACACACAACTAAGCATAATGAAGATGGGAACAGAGTTTGTAAACACTAGGAAAACAGAGATGAAAAAAGCAGGATCAGGTCGAGCAGCTCAGGAACAACTTCCTGGAGGCAAAGTTTTACACTGAGACTGGGAGGGAGGGAAACTTTGTGAGTAGTTAGCATCTCATCTCCTTCATTAATTATAGTAAATTAGGGGGTCTTTTCCAGTGTGATCTGGGATCAGGCAACTCCTACCTTTTCATTCAAGTCCAATTCCAGGAATGAAGAGAGAGTTTGAGTCATTTAGATTTTAATTCCTCTAATGGGTTGTGGGTGGAAGGTGATTCTTCTGATAATTTGGTTTCTCAGATCAAGATGGCACCTTCCTAATTTTCCCTTGCTGTTTAGCAGGCTCGTTCTCAAGGGAAAGCCATACTCTTGAGAGACCTTATCTTGTCCCTCCTCCCTCCTTCTTGCTACCCTAGATACAGAGAGATTTGGCCTTCAGAGATGAAAGGCTGAGGAAACAACACAAGCTGGTACTTCTTGATAGAGGCTTAAATTCAAGTCTCTAGTCTCCAAATGCTCCCCCATTACTTCTACAAAATAGGGCCAGGGGATGGCCATGTGGACTAACCACTCTAGAGTTGTCAGTGGCCAGTGCTTAATCCCAAGCTATTACCCTTCTGGAAGAATCAGGTAGTCTTACACAGACGTGATTTCTGGACAATTTGCTGGTTTTGGTTATCCATGTCTCTACTTCTCCAGTTTAAGGATAAATTCTTTTTGAGCAGAATTTCATTCATGAAATTATGAGGGCTTATTATTTATTATCCCCATCTTAAAAATGAAGAAACTGAGACTCAGGGAGCTTAAGGAACTTGTGAAGAGCAGTCAGTTGTGAAGTGATGGCGCTGCATCTGAATATGGGCGACTGACTGCAAATTCAGTGTGTAGACAGAAAGTCAGGAGATGGCTTTGGTTAAGGGACAGTTAGGACAAGGGCATTATGTGGGTTGATACTTGAATAGTAGGAGGATGTTCACCTCAGAAGGACACCACGTGTTATGACTACTTGAGGAGGTAGTTAGCAAGTCCATCCTGGTCAGTGTGAGGAAAGGGCCGTCTTACTTACGAAGCCTTGAAGAGAAGTAAAAGATGGCTACCTGTTCTGCCAGAGCATCGTGTTCCAAGGTTAGCACCAAAGATGAAACCTGAGGAGAATAGAAATAAGTCCTCCGAGGACTTAGCATCCCCATGAGGAATCCTGAATATAGGCCATGCTAGAGCTGACTATGAGACAATCAGCAAGGCTGAGAACTCAGACACAAAGACCTGGCAGTGAACAGCCACCAGAGTTTCAAATGTCATAAATATTTTGTTTTCCCCTTAAATCCAATTCTGTGATAGAATTGAAGTCCTCTCTCTTAAGTATTCTAAACCCACCAGCTGCTCTTTGGAAACCCTATACAGAGCAGCTGTATAAGATTTGAACCACTGACCTTGCAGTTCAAATGGCTTTGCAGTCTGGTGCATTAACCCACCAGGACTCCATATTCAGTAGATGACATCAAAAGCAGGAATAGTGTAAGACTAATGGATTATTCAAATTCATGATTAGTAGTGTTGGGGTGTGGCACCGTATGATAAGTGCTCAACCTTGAAGTTCAGTTTGAGCCTCAGGGTCAGCAGTTCAAACTCACCAGCTGCTCCTCAGAAACCCTATACAGGGTAGCTATGAGCCAGAACCAACTTGAAGGCACTTAACAACAACAGTGTTGGGGCATAGCCAAATCCACCCTTACTCTAGACCAGGGGTGGGCAACATTTTTCTGCCAAAACTTATAACATCATTCGTGGGCTATACAAAACCATCAACTTAAAAATTAGCCTGCTATATTGTATATTTGGTCAAACATTAAATAACTCACACCCAAGGCGATGACTAAGGAACTCTGGTAGCGTAGTGGTTACAAGTTGGGCTGCTAATCTCACAGTCAGCAGTTTGAAAATGTCAGTGTTTCCATGGGATAAAGAGGAGGGCTTCTGCTCTCGTAAAGATTTACAGCCTTGGAAACCCTATACAGGGTCGCTATGAGTCGGAACTGACTCCATGGCACATAACCACCACCACCAATGTGATGGTTAGAAATGCTGTTGCCTTGGCAGAGCCAAACCAATTGGCTTCATGGGCCATATCCAATCCTTGGGCTAGATGTTCTCCACCCCTGTTCTAGATAAACATAAAAACCCAAAGTCTCTTCATGCTAAGCACTCTCCCTACTTTCCATCCCAGCAAGAATGCCAGTAACCTGGGGCCCTGCTAAGCTATAGAAGGGCAGGAACCACACAAAATACAGATGGGTAGCTCACTGATTCTTTATTTCATTCATTCATTCATCAGACCTTTTCTGAACACCAACCAAGCACTGGGTAGTATTGAGAATTCATAAATTAAATTGTTCCTGTTATCCAGTCTGTTGTGAAAGACATAGAAACATAAGACTACAGCACAGTCTGATAAGACCTATGGAGTTATGGGCTGGGCTGGGGACTATTGAGGCAGAAGTGTACACAACAAGGAAGGCATCCTAGAGTAAGTAACTCTGTACTGGCTGAGTTGGAGCTGGCAAAAGAAAGAGAAAGGAGATGGAGAAGAGTTTTCCAGGTGGAGAGAGAAACTCATACAAAGACCCAGAGACATGGCAGCACCTAGAACATTTGTGGAACTGTAGGACTCTTTGGAACAGCTGGAGAGCCAGGTAGGAGATGCCCAGGAGTGGTGGAAAAATAAATTGTAAAGGCTGGTGGACACCAGATCTCAAAGCATCGTGATATCATGCAAGTTTGAACTTGACTTTAAGACAATGGTGCACTTTGAAGAGCTATAAGCAAAGGCATGTCATAATACTTGGAGTTGCAGTGTGGAGAGTTCAGAGTGGGACTTCAAAAGTTCTTATGTCCAAATTCAAGCATAAGCAATATCAACTGTGCTTAAGACAAGCAAAACTCAGTTAACAGATGATTCAGTGTCAGGTTATTGATGCCTGATGAAGGAGGGGACCCATACCTGCTGCCACCCCATTCCTCAAGCAAAGGCATGGTCTCTGTGCCAGACTTAGCTCAGCCAGGCCCTGAGTAATAGCCTTGATTTGATCCACCTCTTCTAGTTCCAGGAGCTCCAGCTTGCTGCCGGGAGGCATGGAGATGACCTCAAACACACCAAGAATGAGATCTCAGAGCTGACCCGCCTCATCCAAAGGCTGCGCTCAGAGATTGAGAGTGTGAAGAAGCAGGTGACAGGGGACTGTGGGCTCCAGACTCATCCCCAAGGGAGGAGTAACATGTCTAGTACACTCCCTCTGTCATTTCTCCTACTGTTGGTCTTCCATCTTAGAACTCCTTCTTCCAAGTGGAAGCCCTGTTCTCACAAACCCCTCCTCCATTCCCTCCTCCCCGCTGCTGCAATATTTAGCTCCCATCCCAAACCTGGAACAACTAAAAGCCATGGGATTCAGAATAGCAAGCCCACTGACCCAGGCCTTAGATGTGACCATGTGTCTGCTCTAGGAAATGGGTCAGGACAGAGGAGGGTCTAAATGAATACACTGGGTGGGGGAGTTGCCTTAAGATTCAGGGAAAATAGTCTCTTGTGGTTCTCAGTGCTCCAACCTGGAGACAGCTATTGCTGATGCCGAGCAGCGGGGGGACTCTGCTCTGAAGGATGCGCGGGTCAAGATGGATGAGTTGGAAGCTGCCCTAAACCAGGCCAAGGAGGAGCTGGCCCGGATGCTGCGTGAGTACCAGGAGCTGATGAGTGTGAAGCTGGCATTGGACATTGAGATCGCCACCTACCGCAAGCTGCTGGAGGGCGAGGAGTGCAGGTGAGTGGTGGGAGGGTGTTACAACCAAGGAGCTGGAAGAAAATTCGGAATCCCTTGATTCAGAGTTTTCTAGAATGTGGAGGCAAGCTGCCAGAGGGACTGGAGATGTTCTTTAGGTCACCTACTAACATAGCCTTAAACAGCATCCAATCAGAGAAGGAGACAGTGAGTTCCTTTTTGGTTCTCTTTCAACCCTTCAGTTGATGTCAAGGATAAAGTCTCAGCTTGGCGCTACTGTGTCTCTAACACCGCTCTGACACTTGCAAATCTTTCCTTATAATCAAGAGAAAGTGGATCTATCTCAGGTTCAGAATCTCTGGGCAGACCACCATAACTAATCAAAGACTTAAAACATTTTTGTTTTGTTTTCACTATTTATTTTACAGCTACTGGGTTTTTTGTTTGTTTGTTTGTTTGTGTTTTGTTTTTTTTGGTAGGTACTATTAGTTTTCCATTTACCCTAGTTATGTAAAATTTCTTTTTACAATGAATACATTTTTTGTTACAAAAAACAACCAATTAAAAATATTAAGTATATTCATACAACTACAATGATACATGGTCATAGTGATCACTGGGAATGTGGTACACAAAGCATTCACATTTGAGAAGTCCTGTTTCAACATGGTGCCATTTTATAACTGTGATCTACTGAGGAAAAGTTAATGGTCCTAAAATCAAGTATTTAGCTCATTAGTAGTAACTCCTGATCCTAATATTTCCACATGTAGAAGTATTACAAGAATAAAGAAGTGGGTTTAAGAAAAACCCAGCAATGGTGGTGGTCTTGAGAACTCTGAGGTTGTAGACTTACATGTCTCTGAAGTAAGAAGGGTAAATGGAAGGAAGGCAGTGATTCCAAACCCACTGCCATGAATCCAGTTCCAGCTCATAGTGACTCTTTACTCCAAGACAGTAAATCTTTATGATAGTAGATAGCTCTCCCATGGCTGGTGGGTTTGAACTCTAGCCTTGTGGGTTAGCAGTCTAATAGATTAGAAATTAAAAACAAAATAAACCAAATCCTTTGCTGGAATCTAGTAGATTCCAACTCCTATAGGATCTACAACAACCCTATAGGACAGAGCAGAACTCTCCATAGGATCCCCAAGGCTATAATTTTTATGAAATAGACCGCCACATCTTTCCCATGAAGAGGCTAGTGGGTTCAAATTGCCAACCTTTTGGGTAACAGCCAAGGATTTAATCACTGTACCACCAAGGTTCCTTTTGATTAGCGATACAAAGGTGCAGTTAATGCCATTTGGCCAACTAGAAGTTCTCATGGAGGCTGAACTAGTCTGGGTCATAATTTATAGGCTGTGCTGAGGCAAACTCTGGGATTTCATGATGGAGATTCTCCTGTGTTTTTTTTCTTGTAGGATGTCTGGAGAATACACCAACTCTGTCAGCATTTGTGAGTATTTAATGTCTCAGAGGGGATGTTTCTAGGCTATAAGTAAACACAATGTGAGTGGATACCTGCCACTGGGACTCCCCCATGGAACAGCCTGGGGTCTGTTTGGTAGAGCACCACTGTCATCTACTCACTCTACTGCCTCCCAGTTAGCTCCTCATCACATTCCGACATTTCACATTAGTCCCCTCCCCAGAAGTCCCACCTGTGCTAGGATAAACTCTCCACCCTGCTCTTCCTCTAGCCTCCAGCCTGGGTTTCCTGTGTAAAGGAAACTGTGCTCTTGAACAGTTACACTTCCTCACTGGGAATAGAGACCACTGTCATCAGTGGGGTAGACTGATACTTATAATCAGTTGTAATGACCTCAGTGGGGTCCAGCCTGGTCTCCCTTTTTGAGAGATAAACCATCAAGCAATAAGGAAATTCTTTGGAAAGAATTTAGAAACTTAAATGCAAGAACTTGTTGGTTTATCGGATGCATGGGCCTCAGCTACTCTTTGGAAGAAGAATATATCACCTCCATTATTGTTTTTTCAACAAATGAGAAGGTTTCCAACTTGGGGGTCCTATGGGATCTGGGATATTTCTCTTTGTGCTTGAGCTGCTCAAGAATTGACTGTGCCATTAAACCCAAGTTCATGGCTAAAGTGACATGTTGTTTGAGCTAGTGGGGGCTGGAAGACTGGGCCAATCCCTCTCCTGGGACACATGGTAATCATTCCTCCTACATCTTCTACAGCAGTCATCAGCAGCTCCACGGCCGGGACCACAAGCACAGGGGCCAACTTTGGGTTCAGCGGTGCAGGCTCCTATGGCTACAGACCCAGCTCTGTTGGTGGGGGCTACAGCATTCTGTCTGGGGGCTGTGTCACTGGCAGTGGGAACTGCAGCACCCGCGGGGAAGCCAGGACCAGGCTGGGAAGTGCGAGTGAATTCAAGGACCCCCTGGGGAAGATGTCAGCTTTGAGCTCACCCACAAAGAAAACCATGAGATAAAGTGAATGGCAGCATCCCCAGCTGTCCACCTTGCCCGGGTTTCCTCTAGACTCCCTCCTCCAGGAAACTACTTGGTCATGTTTATCTTCTTGCTCTTTTTTGCCACTGCCACTGTCTTGTCCCAGTCTTAATGTACAAACAGCATGACAGGACTGGAGACATCTTGTTCATCTTTCTGCCTCCATGCAAAGAGATCCCTTCACTCAGTCTCCCCTTCTGGGAACACTGCCAAAGACAAGACTTGACCCCTTCTCTGAGCTGCATGCCTCCTTGCAGAGATGAGAGGTGTCTCTCTCCAGGATAACCTCAGATCCCCTGCTGCCTCTGCTGTGCCTTGGTGTAGGCAGATATGTGGCCAGGTTCTCCCTTATACATGAAGTTTCAGATCCACTGATTGGCCTGCAGTAACTGTCTCCAGCCTGGATTTTCTGTTAGGAAATCACTAGTATGGGTGAAATACCTAGTTATAGGTTGTATCTTGCATGGTCACTGCAAATTAGTTAGCCAGGAGTACCCCTTGAGGCTGGTCCTGTAAATGAAGGGATTTTGGCTTTAAAATATGTGAGCTCTTATCCTTGTTCAGTCCTTATCTCCCTATTTCCTGCATCTCACCAATAAACTTATAAAATTCACACAGGCTAGGCTGCTTCTCTCTCCTAAGGAAACCTTAATTTCAGGTCACATTTCTTCTATATGTAGAGTGGCCAATGACCTGTAACCTGGGGCACCCAAAGCCTGGCTTTTTCTACAGAGCCCCAAAGTATCTGTTAATTCTGACTGGAAAGAGAACTTTTGCACAGGCTGAATGATCTTACCATCAGCTCCTCTGGGATTTGCTAGTACTTTAAATACTGGTGGCAAAGCTTCCAACATCACAGCAACATAATCACCACAGTACAATAAACTGACAGGTGAGTGGTGGGTGTAATGTATGGGGTTATCTCTATCCCCTAACTCCAGCAAAGCACCTTTTAAGTCATGCCTTTCTTAGGCCAATGGTCTGTGAGAGAGCAGTCTTTAAGACATTCAGGTTTTCAGGTTGAAGGAGCCAACACTTACTTGTCTGGTGTGTCTTGCCATGTTCAGTCCACTTTTCAGATCAGGGACGGCTTACAGAGGGACACACATATGTGTAAAGTTTCAAAAGACACATAAGAGTTTACTATATGGGCGAGAAGAGGGAATAGGCATTGTAGACCGAGGGACTAGAATGGTGAAAATGGGTTGTTTTGGTTTGAGTATGAAGTGTAAGGCTGCAGGAACTTCAGCAGTTGGACAGAGGTTGCGGTGGCACCTGAAGTTGGGGAAGCAGGAAGTGGTCAGAGCAGAGAGGCTCTTTCGTGAGTGCTAAGGAGTCCTGGTGTGGTGCTGTGGGATGAAGCACTGGAGGGCAAGGACAGTTTGAACCACAAAGTCAGCGGTTCAAACTCACCAGTCATTCCTTGGAAACCTTGAACAGGGCCACTGTAAATCAGAACTGACTCGACTGTACTTTTTGTACCTAACAAAAAGGAACTGAAATAGTAGCGTATAGATTATGGTGGGGTGAGGGAATAGTTTAGAGCAGGAGAGAAATGTGGTCAAATTTAAGTCTAGTGTAGAAATACAAAAGATGGGCTATCAGACTAGAAGCTGGGAAAGCAATTAGGAGGTTATTCCAGTGGGCTGTGAGATGTGGACGATGGTGGTGATGTGCTGTGGAGCTGGTTCCAACTCACAGTGACCCTGCATAGAGTTTCCAAGTTGTAAATCTTTATGGAAGCAGAAAGCCTCATCATTCTCCCTTAGAATGGCTGGTAGTTTTGGACTGTTGACCTTGAGGTTAGCAGCCTGACTTGTAACCACTATGTTACCAGAGCTCCTTGGGCACAGTAGTAGAGGGATGGAAAGGAAGGACAGATTATAAGAGACATCTCAGAGGGAGAACCCATAAGAAGCAATGACTGGTTAGATATCAGGGTGACTGGTTGGATATTGGGCTAGCAGAGCATAACCCTAGAAGGATGCCCATGTCTCTGCTTTCTCCTAGTGTGGAAGAAGGGTTTCCAGGAGTACAGATTTGGCGATTGATGGTGAGGGCTCTTGGCTGAAAGTGTAGATTTGGTCTTAAAACAATAGCCAAGCTGTTTTTGCTGTTAGGTGCTATCTGACTCATAGCAAACTTATGCACAACAGAATAAAACATTGTCAAGTCCTGCATTATCCTCACAATTGTTGTTGTTACATTTGAGTCCATTGCTGCTGCCACTGTGTCAATCCATCTCCTTGGGGGGTTTTCCTCTTTTCCACTGACCATCTACTTTATCAAGTATGATGTCCTTCCCAGGGACTGGTCCCTCTTGATAACATGTCTGAAGCATGGGTGACAAAATCTCAATATCCTGGATTCCAAGGAACATTCTTTTTTTAAAAAAAATTTTTTTTTTATTGTGAATTGAGTGATCGTTTACATGGGAGAACATTGGTTTTATAATCATCGTTTCATTGCAATGATTACAACCCACTCCGTGCATCATCATTCAACAGTATTTGCCTCTATCCCGTCTATTTTTCTTTGGATATACACAAAAACACTCAGGAATATATAATAATTTAAACAACCAAAGAGGACATTCTACAAGCCTGCCTCCTGGCTGCTAGCACACAGCCTTTCTCTTTCCATGAGTCTAAAGTCCTCAGCTGCTCTATCTCTCCATGTCATCATCTCTGGTGTTGCTGTTTCTCTGGATACAGTCCCATATTCCACTCGTGCTTCTCTCCCTGATGGTCCTAGGGTCCTCTGATCCTGGAATATAAGATTAACTACCTCCCACCCCTTTTTGCTACAAAATGTTTACCTTTACAGTTGTGGCAGTCACAATTTGTCATGATGATAATTACTCACTCTTGAATCACAAGAATCTTATCCCCCACATCTCCTTTCACCAGACCTATCTAGACAAGAAGGAAACTAGTCAGTGGAGAGTCTACCTTCCCCTGTACACTCTGAAATTAAACTTACTCTTGAAAACATGTAAGGCAGTCACTTTATGCCTTTATAGCCCCCCCCCCCCCCCCACACACACTTTAGGTCACCAATGTCAAAGTTACCCATCCCCATCAATCCTGTGTACAGAGGGGATGGGAATGATCCTTGATGTGAAGATTTCTTCCCTCTCAGTATTTTGAGCTACTACATCCGTAAGTATAGGTCAAGTTCATCAAATTGTAGCATTTTACACTTGTTTTCCTTTGTCAAAATTTTTTTATCTTCCTCTAGTCGAGTTCTGATCACCAAACTATCAAAGCTTAGTCGAATGGGTACTATCTGCAAGTGTGGGTTTTCTTGTGCATCTCCCCTCACTTCATATCAGCTAGAGGCTTCACTCTCAGCTCTAGCCCACCATGGCTATGTTCTTGTCTATGGGCTCAGGAGTCCCCAGGTCTCACCATATTTCAGAGCAACCAGCCCTTCCTCTCCCCTCTCTTATCTCCAGGTCAACAGGAGTCTATGGAACATGGTCAAACTCAGCCCATATCTTCATTGCTACCTTTCGCCCTCTTCCACTCACCAGTAGACTTAATGTGGTCATCAGCAAGCTTACATTCCTGCTCATGTGTTCCCTTTGAGTTTATCTTGGAAGGGGGTTTGTCCTGAAGGGACTTGATACTTGCCTTGATAGCTCCCCGGTGAACAACTTGCCAATCAGACTGCCATTTTTGTTTTTGATTTTTCCTGCTGTTCTTTCTTTTAAGCAGTATCTTCTGTTCCTCTAGCTGCTGGTTTACTTGTCCTAAAGAGCATTCTTGCTGTACTGCTTGCAATACAGATTTGTGTGTTCCTCTAGCAATCTATGGTATTTTTAATATTCTTCTCCAACACCATAATTCAAATGCATTGATTCTTCTACAATCTGCCTTGTTAATTGTTCAACTTCCACATGAATATGAGGCAATTGAAAATACCATGTCTTGAGCCAGGTGCACCTTAGTCCTCAAACTGACATCTTTGCTCTTGAACATTTTAAAGAGGTCTTGTGTAGCAGATACACCGAATGCAATTTGATTTCTTAATTGCTGCTTTCATGAGTGTTGATTGTGGATCCAAGCAACATAAAATTTTTGACCACTTTAATCCTTTCTCCATTTACCATGATGTTATGTATTGGTCCAGTTGTGAGGATTTTTGTTTTCTTTACATTGAGGGGCAATCCATATGGAAGGCTGTAGAAGAGAGAATTTAGGAAGAAGGTATGTAGTTTAAAGAGAGGCAGAAGAAGGACAGAATACCTGGAAAAAGTAGAAAGAGGGTCCAGGAAGAAGATTTGGGTGGAATAACCAAAGAGGTAAAGGTAGAAAGAGTTTCAAGGAGGAAGAATTAACTAACAGGGTTAATAAGACAAAGTCAGACAAGAATTGAAATGGTATTCATTAAGTTTGGAAATTAAGGAGTGATTAGTCATTTTATAACATAGTGGTTACAAATCAGGCTGCTAATCTCACGGTTAGCAGTTCGGAACTACCAGCTGTTCCCTGGGAGAAATATGAGGCTTTCTGCTCCCGTAAAGATTTGCAGCCTCAGAAACCCTGTACAGGCTCACTATGAGTTGGAACCAACTCCACGGTACACAACAACAACAACAACAGTCACTTTAGTGAGAGTAGTATCAGGGGAGAAATTCTGGAGCTGGTGGTAGAAACAACAGTATAGAAGTCAGAGGACAGGTGTTAAGGGGCAAATGGAAATGAACAAGTTTAGAAAGGCGGGCTATAAAGTTCATGGGAAAAGTCAGATCAACCTGGGTTTGATTTTGCACTGCCACTTATTAACTGTGTGATTTAGGTAAGATATTTACACTCCATGAGCCCCAGTTTCCTCATTTGTTAAAAAAGACGCTATAATAATAGGTACCTCATGGAGTTATCATAAAATTGCATAAGATAACATCTGAGAATTTTTAGCGTGGCACATAGTAAGTATCGATAAGTGGTTGCTGTTACTAGAATCCTGGTGTGGCATT